ACAATGACGATCGCTATTGATGTTTCAGGAAATGAACACGCTCCTGCTGGTTCTTGCCGTTGGCGTGGTAAGTTTTTGATATTTTCTCGAATCAATTTCAATGGTCTACGTTCTTATTTTGTCATTGTTCAGCTCAGTTTTCTCTGACAAATATCAATCGCATTCGTTAATCATTTCTAAACTGATTCTCCGAGAAGGTAATTATTCTGATCTGCATCCCATTCACCCAAATACACAAACGTTAGGCCTGACCAGTATCTCAGCGGAATGAACTGTTTCTCGTCAGTATTCGATTGGGATTCCTGCAAAAATGCAAAATCAGAAAAAAAGTTCTCCGGAAAATGAAAAAGTTGTCCAGAATATATGGTGTGATGAGAAAATTCAGCAATTTGCATATTGAGTCAATCTTTAGCTGAAAGAAGAGTCTTATTGTGAAAATTTCAGTCGTTGGTCAACTCACAAGAGTGTTCGAGTCCAGCCGGTACGAAAAAGGCTTTTGGCAAATACTTGACATGCATTAAGAGAATGCTGGATGATGATTATGGTGTTTACGAAGAAGAAATTAGAGAGCACAATAGGTGAGGGCTATTGCATTCTAATAAAGAGAGCGATTTCATGAAACTGTAACGCCAGTTTCGAAAAGAGTCTTGTTCTCGTTCGGACTATCGAATGGCGTTTGTAAGCGATAAAATGGAATTGTTCATGATACCACTCAGTCAATTCGATCTGCACTGATCTATGCATGATGATCCATCATGATTGGTCACTTCGAACAAAAATGAATCGGAAAGTTGACAGTTCTAAATTTTTAATTTGGAATCGTTTCCTCAGGAAAGCTGCGGCCGCATGCTTCGCTCCAACAATTGCGGCAGCAAATACTAAAGAACGCTGTGTTCTGGCGACGTCCGATCTTGAGCAGAAAGCTTGGGATCGAAATGGACCACTACGCGATTGTTCTATCTGCAGAACGGTAGGCTCTTCTTCACTATGACTATCCTATATTACTAATGACGATAATAACAAACCAATTATAGTAATGGCTTTATTACAACCATAGCAATAGTACCAAATGTGACAATATAACAGAAACAACAAAGACCAACAATTTCATCCATACCATTGATAACGATAGTGTTAAAAGTAACAGTAGTGCATTTAGCAAATCACTGTCCAGTGTTTTAAATTGAGAAAACTTGGATTGAACTCTGTGCAGTTTAAATTGGTAATATTCATCAAGCGGAATGCAAGTCGCTGTTGTGAACTACCTTCTCATTTGTTGATCACTCACTGATAGTGATAACAGAATACTGATAGTGATAAAATTCAAGTTTGCGGCTGGTGCAATCAAGGCGATACTGTCAACACCACCTGACGAGCAACGGTGTATTCGTAATGAAGTGACCAAAGCAGTGGCCAGAGAGGCTGACTATTGTCTC